GGGAAGATGAGCCCTTCTTAGCCACGGTCGTTAATGGTGAGGTAATGAGCGGGTGTGACAATGGCGGAGTGTCGAACGGTCCAACAGATGCGCCGAGAGGTAGCTCCGATTCCAGAAAACTGTCCGCGTGCTCAGCAAACTGTAAAGCCGAGGTGTGATTCGTTGCATGCGAAGTAGGAAGAAAGTCGCGCGAGTAGTAGATGGGCCAACTAAATTCTAAGAAGTCGCAGATGTCATCGTCGTAATTGCGTAGAAGATGGTAATGAAAATAAATTCATATCATTACTAAGTGACGAGAAAATGTCAATTCCTTTAGCGCAATATTTAAAAAACTGTTTTAATACAAGACAGCAGCACCTACATAAACTAAGCCAGTAATACATTCCTTGTATTCAACTTATTATCTTTTTTTTTTTTTATGCCTTTTTGTTCCCTTACTCTTTATGTGGTTATTTTTCTTTTACTAATATCTGATTTGTAACCCTTTTCATCCCCTCCGGGGGATGTTGTGTGTTAATAAATAAATAAATAAATAAATAAATAAATAAATAAATAAAGCTGGCTTCCAAACTGGCATTTTGGCACACTTGTGAACATTGTAATAGTGTAATCAAGCATCTTGAATAGGCATATATAAAATGCATATGACCAAATCGCAATTAAAAATTCTCTATTTGGTCGATATGCTTGTGTATAGTTACAGGCTTCAAGTTGAGTTTGTTGAATTATAACCTTTCGTTGTTCGCTATACTAGGATGACTGTATCCCAGTATTTCATAATCTAACCGATAAAATTCGATTAATTGGTCCAATGTATATTTCGGCAAAGTTTCAATTGTTTTTCTGAATAGTGTATCACCTTTTCTTTCGTGTACAGTTGGAAAATGAACTAAATTGTCAATTCCAAGTAAGTGGAGTGCAAATGGTCCATCATAAGATAGTTTCTCCATATGACCGATAAAATCAAATTTTACCAGACATACATCCGATAGTTTGTATTGCGGCATCCAGTGGATATGCTCGGGCAATAACTTGTCACCATTTGTAATAATAAACTGTGCAAACTCTTGAAATGTTACGTTCAACCTTCCCTGTCCAATCTGTGTGTCATAAGTGCTTAGTTTCCGTATTGTCGATATGCTCTTCCTGAATAAGTCTTCATACAGAGATGAACGGTTGGATGAAATATGAAATTTGCTGTAGTAACAGGAAACAAGTCTTTCTAAAGGTTCTCGGAAGAAAACAACTTTTTTATAATGTTTTATTGACTTTGTAGCTGATAAATGTCTGAATTTGAATTCACATTGTTCATCCACACCTCGTAAGAGGCTTTTCCACGTAGTACATCC